TTTAATTAAAATAAGTGAAATAAGCCAGATGTAGAAAGAGAGAAACAGCACGATCCCATCGAGAGGTGAGATCTGAAAAGTCACAGGGCCAGAAGCAGGGAGCAGACAGGGATGCGGGGGTGACAGAAACAGGGGCAGGGGGCAGACACGGGTGGAGTGATGGAGGATGAGTAAGAGGAGGGAGCTGCTGGCTGGTGATGCCGTTGTGAGAAATCAGCAGGGTTCAGGGGTTCTCCATCGTGCCTGAAGGATGGAGCCATCAGGCGGGAACCTTGGGGTTCCCAGAAGCCACAGGTGTGGATTTGCGGTCCTACAGACCTGAAGCCAGTGTTAGACACCAAAGCTACTCTGATTTTTAAAATGTCGTTTTTAAGAAAGAGAAGTCACCGAGAGGAGAAGGCGACATTACGATAGGTGTCGTAACCCTCCCCCTGCACCTGCGGCCATCACGTCACCCCGCTGCGGTCTTACAGACAGACCCTTTCCACTGAAGGCCATTCTGGGGGAGAAGACTCAGGGTTCAGGGGCTGGAGCGATAGCACAGCGGGGAGGGCGTTTGCCTTGCACGCGGCCGACCCGGATTCGATTCCCAGCATCCCATAGGGTCCCCGAAGCACGGCCAGGAGTGATTCCTGAGTGCAGAGCCAGGACTAACCCCTGAGCATCACTGGGAGTTAACAAACAAGAAACAAACAAACAAAAAAAACTTTCAAATAAACTCTGTTTAAAAAAAATCAGATTTCAGCGGGGTGAGAATTCCCTTGCGAGAATGAAGGTAGGGTGGGGGGCAGGGGAGGCAGGGTGCCTAACCTGGGCGAAAGGAGAGGAAAACCAACGCGGGCACTTCTCAGGACACAGAGGGGGCTGAGCCAGGAGGAGCGGTGGGTCGAGCGCGAGGCGGCAAGAGTGAGCCCAAGAGGCACGCGGGGGTCGTGCAGGCAGAGCAATGGGGTGGACGGGAGGTTCCCCAGCCACCCGGGGCCATCTCTGTCCTCGACCCTGCCCGCCCAGGAAGCCAAAGACCCACAAACAGCCCGGTTAAGAAAAGACGGAACCCAAGTGGAGGGGTGTGACCCCAAGGCTAAACAGCACCAAGGGTGACGGAAGCCCAGAACAGCTGAACTCCGGGAGTCGTCGGCCGGCCGGAGTGCACAGAGAGGTCGTTAGACATGGCCAGTGCGTGCAGGCATAAAGGAATTAACTGCTTCTTCGGGAAGCTTACGGAGATTAAAAGGCAAGGCAAAGAAAAGATTAAGGACTCAAACAGCATCTAAAAGGAACTGTAGCCAATCCTTCTAGAAGGGGAAAAGGGAGAGAAAATGCTCCCCTGAAAATACGCTGATGACCAGCTCTGAACCGCGGAGATCTGAGGGGAGGTACTTGAAAAAATAAAGCCAGGAGGTGAGGGAAGGGGTGAGACATGACAGTTTTACAGAATGTGGCCTGCTTGAATATTTGGCAGGAGGGTAGAGAAACCACCGAAATGACTTCCATCTAGACAGTATTGGGTCTTGACCAAACTCACACAATCCAGCGAAAGGCACAAAAAGCCACACAGCTTTATCTAGAAGTCTAGGACACTTACAAAGACGTTCTACAATATCGCAAAAATAAATGGCTAACTAGTCGAAAAGGGCAGGGAAAGGTGGGACAGGAGAAAGGTCTAACCTTGTAAGCAGCGGACCCAGAGTCTGTCCCCAGCCCCCCCCCCCCCCCAAGTTGCCCAGGCACCATCAAGAGTGAGCACTGCCAGTGTGGCTCCCAAATTTAAAAAAACACTAGGTTCTAATTCCTGCCCCCTCCCTGTCCTCTTCGCCAAAAAAAGATCAGATAAGTCAATAGTTTTTGCGCAGAGCGCTCCATCAGGTCAGGTCACTCTTCACATTCAAGACTAAAAAGAGCTTTAGGGCTGACAAGATAGTACAGGGGTTAAGGAGTTTACCTGGCATCCCTCTGAGCCTGGTTCCAATCCACTGCACTGCATAAAGGTCCCCTACACAAGGCCAGGGGATCACTCGTCAGCACAGAGCAAGGAACAGCCCCTGAGAACCACAGAGTGCAGCCCTCAAAAAAACAAAAACAGGGGCTGGAGAGATAGCACAGTGGGTAGGGCCTTGCACGCCTTGCACGCGGCTGACCAGGTTCGATTCCCAGCATCCCGTATGGTCCCCTGAGCACCACCAGGAGTAACCCCTGTGCATCGCCAGGTGTGACCCAAAAAGAAAAAAAAAAACTACACCTAAACCAAAACAGGAACTGGAGTGATAGTATAGTGGGAGGACACTTGCCACTTGCCTTGCATACAGCTGAACCAGGTTCGACCCCCAGCATCCTATATGGTTCCCTGAGCACCGCCAGGAGTGATTCCTGAGCGCAGAGCAAGGAGGAACCACTAAGCGCCACCAGGTGTTGCCCCCCCAAAATGAAACAAACAAAACGCAAAAACAAAACACTTAAAAACAGTTTCTAAATAATCATCAAGTTGTAAAATAAGGAAGCATTTTGTTTTGCTTGGCAAGGAGCCAAGTCTTCGGGCTTAATGAGTCCAGTTAGCGCTCACTGGCTGTGGAGTGCTGCATGAACCAAGCCACTGCTTAGGCTTCGGGGAGTTCAGGCACTCGTGCACAAAGTCAGTGACCTCAGAGGGAACAAACGGACACAGGGAGGCAGGAGAATCTCAGCACAGGCTTGGCCGTTAGCCGAGCCACCTGGGCACACTGCCTGATCTCTGAGTTGTCCTAACCTATGAATGAAATACCTTGGTCCGTTTTTCCTCTGGGGAAAAAAATGATGTCCAATCAAGTGAAGACCTTCGAACTCCATCAATCTGGACTTTTAACTTACTATATTGTCTGTCACTGTCACTGTCACCCCGTTGTTCATCGATTTGCTCAAGTGGGCCCAGTAATGTCTCCATTGTGACGCTTGTTACTGTGTTTGGCATCACGGATCGCTTGCCAGGCTCTGCCATGCAGGCAAGATACTCTCAGTAGCTTGCCGGGCTCTCCGAGAGGGCTGGATTGTCAAGGCCATAAAAAACACAGTTTGGTAAACAACTCAGTTCTTTGTAAGCAATTTTAATTCGAAGTCACAGTAATTAGCCTTTTCTATTCCTTTTGATAATTAAAGCCCTTTTTTATATCATCTGTAGCATCTTCTAGGAACCAAAATAATTTTAAATCAGTCTATGGGCATGGAGTGCATGTGTGCGTATGCATGCACGTGTGTGCGCATGTGTGCATGCAAGTACGTGTGTGTGTGTGTGTGTGTGTGTGTGTGTGTGTGCTGTCTGGGATACAGCCCAGGGCCTCACACCTATGAAGTAGGACGCTCTGGGCTCTATTTCTGATCCCCGGTTGTTTCTCAATGTTGCTGAATCTCAAATCCAGAAAGTGGGCTGATATTCCTGCCCCACCTACCTCCCACTGCCAGAATGTTCTAAAATGTCTCAACCCCAAGAGCTGCAGGCACTCCACTTACAGTTACGGATGTTTGTCCAGTCGACTTTAGAGAAGAAAGGGTGGCAGCAAAGGCCTTCGAACTTCAGCCTCTCTTTCTGGCCACACAGCAAACTTTGAATCAGATCAAGTAATTCACTGCTAACTTTCGGGCTATCTGGAAACTTCAAAAAACGCTATTGCAAAAAAAAAAAAAAAGAAAGAAAGAAAGAAGAAATGAAACAATCATTTCTTTAGCAAATGCAGCTTTCCAGAGTTAAGAAAGTTTTTCTTATATATGCAAGTTTCCTTTAAAAAAAAAAACTTTTTTTAAAGAATTTTTGTGTTCTCTTCCCTTTGGACCAAAGGCTCGTTCCCAGAATAAATGGCCTGTTCCCATCGAGAGGCCGAGCTCCCTTGCAAGGGTCCGACATCCTTCACGGCCTGACCCCTGCTCCTCTCCCGTCTCATCTCTCCCACTCCTCACCTGCTCTTTGCTGGCCAACAATGGGAAGTTATTTAAAGCTGCCTGAGCACATCCCTTTGTTCTCTGCAGAACCTCCTGCCTTACCAGCCCCTCCCAGGACTTCCCTGCCTGGATCTCCCACCCCACCTCTCTCACGGGCCTCTCCCTCTGTCCTCTCTCATGGACACGCCATTTCTGTTTGGGGTGGAGAGAGGAGGCAGAGAGAACCTTCTCAGCTGCCCTGTAAACCTGATGCCTTACTGTGCCCAGGGGACACGCCCATCGCTGGACAAGCGGCTTGAATTGAAGGTAACAAATTAGCTCCCACAAGCAAAGGGGAACTTTAACTCAAGAACAACATTATGTAACCATGAAAATACAGAGCCACAGACACGAAAGCAGGTCTTAAGCATCCCAGAAAGATGAAATTAATCGAAGAAAAAATTTTTAATGATCGATTTTTCCTTTTGGTTGAAGTGGAAACAGATCTGCTAATCCATCCTATCCTTCCAAAGTGGGCTTAATAGAGTACAAAGTCTAGTCATCAGGAAATAACTTTGATTCTTCTTGATTAACTGATTTATCACTTTCTAATCCATTCAATGTTATTAATGCCATCAACGGCAGTACTAAGAAACAGAACAGCTGACAGCTAGAGTTCAGCCAAGTGAGGTGGACACCTTCTCCGGCAAGTGGCTTATCCACTCTGCCTCGGTTCTCACATCTGTAAAATGAAAATAATATCTACCTCACGGGGTTGCCTGAGGACGAGCAGAGTTAATAAGCTAGATTTCATCAATCCCCAGATACATGTTCAAAACGCATCTGATAATTAATGAAACGACAGATTAGCTGGCGGCACTTTTGCTTCCAACGGTACCTAAAACAATAGCGTGGGCTCCAGCTCCGAATGGTGGAGAGTGAATGAAATAGAATCAATGAAGTGTTTAGAAGAGCTTTTGCCACACAGTGAGTGCCACGGACTTTCCTGCTGTTATTACTACCCGGGACTGCGGGTTTATATGTGGACATTCAATCCCACAATGCTTCCGTGCCACTTCTCAGTGTCACTCCCAGACCCACGACTGGCTCCGTACCTGGAAGTTCATGATGTTACTGAAGGTTCGGGCTGAGGTGCCCTCAGCGAACGGAGACCGTCCATAAATCATCTCATAGGTGATCACGCCCACTGCCCACCAGTCGCAGTCCAGGCCATAGGCTCCTTTTCCATCCCCGTTCAACACGGTCAGCACCTCAGGGGCCATGTAGTCCGGGGTCCCAATTGGGAGTCTGGCGTTCACCTGAAATCACAGACACCACGCACGTGGCGACCACGCCCCACTCGAGTGCCAGCTGCCACGGTTCCGACACACGCTAGCTGCCACTGACGCCATTCTCCCGGGCACTGGGCCCTTCTGGCAAGGGGCATGCTCGAGAAAATGCAAACTGTTTGCTTTTTGTTCTTTGCTTTTTTATTGAATCACTGTGAGAGAGACCCTTACAGACCCGTTCGTGATTAGATTTCAGTCAAATCATACTCCAACCCCCATCTCTCCACCACTGCACGTTTCCCTGCACCAGTGCCCCCAGGTTCCCTCCCATCATCCCCACCCCCACCCCTGCCCCCTGCCTGCCTCTATGACAGGCGCTTTTCCTCCCCCGCCCCCTCCCTCTCCCTCCTCCCCCGCCCCCTTTTTGGGCATTGTGGCAAACCATTTACTTTTAACTGCATAATTCTCGAGGCCCAAGGGGAAAGAGCTGGTGTCCTGGGCTCTCTGGCCCCTGACAGGGAAGATGTCTTTCCTGATACACATCACTGGTATGAAGAGCCCCTCCAATGCTTGGAAACCGCAAAATGATCAGAGACCAATCTGCCCATTAACGGAAACCAGCAACCCAAAATTATGAGCCTGCGGTGATAGCTCAAGGTTAAGTTATTTGAACTCAATAATCCCACTTCAACCCACCTGCTGGGCAGGACCTGATAAACAACCCCCCGCCCCCCCCCCCGCCCGCCCGCAAAGACCAAGTGTTAATGGGGACTCTCTTCCCCAGCCCCAGCTCCAGCTCCTGTGGCTTTGCCGCTTTCGGAGAGACCCAGGCCCTGCAGCCCAAGTACCTTGACCATGACAAAGCAAGGCTTGAGTGATGTGGGAAGGCCTCTCTAGAAAGCTAATCCATTCTATTTAAAGACCGATTCTTTTTGTTTGTTTGTTTGTTTCTGAAAGTTTGTCCGACTGTCCTGGTGATGAAATGTCCTTCGCATCCTAAAATGCTGCTGAGAAAGAAAGTGGGTTTTCTGCCCCTCCCACCCACCTCTTGCTCGACCAGCCCAGCAGCTGGCAGCCCCGTGAGTCCCCCGGACTGGGCTGAAGCATTACTGAGTCGTGAAATGTGACGTCTGAGGACCACCTCACCCATGTTCTTCCCCAATGAAACAGGGCCAGCTGCAGTCACCTCTGCGGCTGATCGCTGTCAACAACCCTGCATCCAAATGGGCTTCTATCCCACTGGCAGTAACAGGGTGCAGAAGGGAGCAAACAGAGTGGTAAGTGTCCCCGAGTGAGCCGACAGATCTCACAACTACAGCGGGCATTAAAGGCAAGATAGTACAGCAGGGAGGGCACTCGCCTTGCACGTGCCTGACCTGGGCTCAATCCCCGGCATTCCATATAGTCCCCGAAACACTCCCGGGAGTATTCCTAAATTCAGAGCCAGGAGTAACCCCTGAGCATCACCAGGTAGAACCCAAAAGCTAAAAAAAAAAAAAAAAAAAGCACAGCGGTAGGGCGTTTGCCTTGCACACAGCCAACATGGCCAACCCAAGTTCGATTCCTCCGCCCCTCTCGGAGAGCCCGGCAAGCTACCGAGAGTATCTCGCCCGCATGGCAGAGCCTGGCAAGCTACCCGTGACACATTCGATATGCCAAACACAGTAACAAGTCTCATGATGGAGACGTTACTGGGCCCGCTCGAGCAAATCGATGAACAACAGGAGGACCGTGATACCGTGATAACTGTTTTTAAAAGGCTGTAGCGGAGTTAAGCCAGCTAGCCCCATATGTGTCCCGGTGTGGTTCAAATCATCTCCGGTGCCCTGAGCAACACTAGAACTGACCCCGAGTACAGAGTCATGAGTAAGCCCTGAGCACTGCTGGGTATGGACCAAAACAGAAACAAACAGGAAAGGGTGGGCTGCTGCAGACATGGTACAGAGGTTAAGATGCAAGATTTGCATGTGTCCTGTCCCCAGTACCACACGGTTCCCCAAGCATCACCAGAGACTGCAAACTGCTTGGATGTCCCTCCTTCCCTCATCCCCACCCTCCCAAGAGAAAAAGGATGGGCTTGATGCCATAAACATTGATTTACTTTGCCTGGGAACAGAGAGGAGCTTAATGATCAGAGAGGATGCCAGGCAGGCTCCATGGCCAGTGATGAAGACCCACACTCCTCTACCTGGGAGCTGGATCTCTCCAATCCTCCGCTCTGAAGATCCATTGCTACAGAAACAGACTCATTCTCCCTACTCCCTCTCCTTTCATCCCTTCCCTCAAGTCCTCTACAGGTTTGTCCAAACCCTTAACCCAGAAAGGGATCCTGTTATTCCCGACACCAGTCTCCAAGTCTCTGGGTAACAGGAAGACAAGTACCTCGCTGGGAAAGCGAGATGGTCACACCACCCAGGAAGCACACACCGATGGGGAGAAAGAGGAAAAACGTCTCCAACAGAGCTTAGGAGACTTAAAATCAGTGAAAAGGAAGTCTTGGTGCTGGAAGTCCAGCCAAGATTTATCTTTCAATGTGTTAAATGAGCTCAGCACGGGATCAGGGTTTTAACACAAACTACAGGTTTGTGTTAAAAAATTTTGTCTCAACATTAACAATGAACAATAGATCCCTTTTAAGTACAAAAATAAAAGTAGAAAACTAACATCTTGCTGTGACTAGACGTTGGCACTGCCACCGTATCACTGATTAGATGATAAAATACCCTTTATGCCCAATTACCCCACAGGACAATGCAGTCATCTAATATGCATCTAATATCTCCACACTTTGGGATTTTATTCTGTCACTGTGCTAGATTGTTTGTGAACACTCTGTTCTCCCCACGGGCAGTGCACAAGGTTGGGTCACTTGTACAAGGCCCGAGAGGTGGTGGGTCCATACTTACCAGCATGGCCTTGTCAAAGGTCCGAGCTGTCAGGGCCACGTGTTCAGATGACTAGGATTAGACTGAACAAAGAGAGGACAATAACTCCCCAACTAATTCTTTCTCCAGATCAGATATGATGCCTTATCATCTTGAGCCTTCTAAATAGATTAATTTGCAGTAGAAAACTCTAAAGAAAAAATATCTTTTCTAGTTTGTGCTTCAGACACCTCCCTCTACGGAACTTGCTCATAATTAACCGAGATTTTGGGGGGTTTGGTTTGGTTTGGTTTGGGGGCCACACTCAGAGGTGACCAGGGGCTACTCCCAGAGCTCATGTGACCCTGTGGTGCCAGCTGAACTGGGGCTCCCACAGGTAAAACATGCGCTCCAGCCCTCAGAGCCAACCCCGGCCAGTAAGAAAGGCTTTCAATGGCAATCAACGGCCAGTCTCCATTAGCCACTGACCTCTGGACACATCAACCCATTCCACATGTGATTTCACTTGCCCTGATGAGGACCTTGCAAGATGCTTTTCACTCTCTTCTGGTAGCAATTCACAGCCAAGTAACCGAAAGGATGTTTTGTTTTGCTTAATTTGTCTTTGGGGACCATAGCCAATGGTACACAGGGAATACCCCAAGCTCAGTGCCCAGGCGTCTCTCCCGGCAGTGCTCAGGGACCTTGGGTGCCAAGAATTTCCCAATTCTTTTTGTTTTCATTCTGTGGTCGCTGTCGTGCAGAACTGGAGATCGCGCCCAAGGTCTCGAGCATGCAAGGCCCGTGCTTTCCAGCTGAGCCACTCTGGAGGGAGGTAATAAAATGAACTAGATACTGGCCAGAGAGACAGCTCTGTGGGCTGAGCACAGGCTCAGCGTCTGGGGTTCAAGCCCAACACTGCTAAGTGACTCAATCCATAGGACAACATCGGACAGGGCATCCATATCACTATGCCTTAATCCTTATCCACTGCCAGGAAAGTTATAATCCCAGTCCATGGAAAGAGTCAGAACATGGGCTGGGACACAAAAGAATTTACCTATTTTAAGGGATAAAGAGATAAGACAAAAAGCAAAAAAGCAAAAAGGATTAACTTAGAAAAGTCCTAACCCTAACCCTCGCTAACCCTAACCCTAACCCTAACCCTAACCTTAACCCTAACCCTAACCCTAACAATGCTGGGGTGTGTTCCCAAAAGCAATAGCTAAAAAAGGGGAACTGTAGTGACTCAATCCGTAGGACAACATCGGACAGGGCATCCATGTCACTATGCCTTAATCCTTATCCACTGCCAGGAAAGTTATAATCCCAGTCCATGGAAAGAGTCAGAACATGGGCTGGAACACAAAAGAATTTACCTATTTTAAGGGATAAAGAGATAAGACAAAAAGCAAAAAAGCAAAAAGGATTAACTTAGAAAAGTCCTTAAGAAGCAGGAACAGATGTGATTACCACTGTCTTCCTCTCCCCTCAGCCATTCCCATGACTTCAACCCCCAACTACAGGACTTCAATACGCAACGGCATGACTTTGACATTCAACTACAACCCAACACTCAATGTACAACTACAACCCAACGCTCAACGTACTGCTACAATCCAACTCTCAGTGTACAACTACAACCCAACACTCAATGTACAGCTACAACCCAACTCTTGGTGTACAGCCACAACCTAACTCGCATTGTACAGCTACAACTTAACTCTCAATGTACAGCTACAACCCAACTCTCAGTGTACAACTACAATCTAACTCTCAATGTACAATTACAACCCAACGCTTAATGTGCAACTAGAACCCAACGCTCAATGCGCAACTAGAACCCAAATCTCAATGTATACCTACAACCCAATGCTCAATGTACAAGTACAACCTAACACTCAATGTACTGCTACAACCCAACTCTCAGTGTACAACTACATGACTTCAACATCCAATTGCATGACTCTGACATACAACAACCTCTCAGCACACAGCTACAAGACTTCAACATACAACTATAACTGAACTCTCTCAGGCTCAGTCCCTGGTGCAGGCCAGCACACTGCAGAAGAGAACAACTCCTCTTGTTCCTCTCGTGGAAAAGAAAGAAAAACACTTTTCCCTCTGACATTCATCCCCCAAAAAGGCTCCCGCGGCTCCCCTGCTGCTAGTCACAGGGCTGGCAGGAGCTCTTAAATCCACGATTTCCAGAACACTGGCTCATGAGTGAACAAAAGACAGCTTGGGATTGTGCCCTGTGTGTCCAATGAGATTTTAATCAGGTGTGTGTGGGGGAGGAGTGCTGAGTCACACAGCTTCAGTGGCACATCTCTGCTCCTAAGACCCAACCCCTCAGCTTGGAGATGGTCCAACTGATAAAACGAAAATACTCCGAAGAAACATTCAAATTTACAACTTAAAACAGGACAATGGGGACAGAGTAATAGTTCAGTGGGTGGAAAGTTTGCCTTGCATGTGACTGAGCCCAGGTTAATTCCTGGCACCCCAGAGAGTCCCCCAATAACCTCACCAGGAGAAATGTATCAAAAATACATAAATATGTATTTTGGATGGGCTAAGGAAAAGTTACTTCAGTAAATGGGTGCATCTCACATTCCATATTCTGCTCAAAAAGAACATTTAGAGCCTACTTTTGACCTCCCAAACATTCCACCTAAAGAAATCCCATTCAGCCTATTCACAGGGATCCAAGCAACAATTTCCAATCCTCTCTCCATACACGGACTGATCCAACTGCAGGTCCCTGGCCTTCTAACACCGCAAGGGCCTCCCCATCAAACACGGCTGAGGATCCCTGTGTGTCTGCTCGTGCCTGGGAAGGCACTTCTCCCTCCAGCCGGGGGGTGGGGGGGGGTGGCATCCTGAGTGCGTCCATCAGGCCAAGCCGCAGGTCCTTGACCAGAATAGCCAGGGGCTGAGTACTGAGCTGCATGGAGCCTAAGTGCCTGTGGGCGGCTCCCCACCTAGAGGGAAGGGCTGAGAAGGGCCCAACTCTGAAAGGACAGGAGCGATGTCTCTCTGCCAAGGGCCCTGGAGAGGGACTCGACACCCAGGCACGGGAGCATGTCTCACGCAGGCGTCTGAACGGGTCTGCTGATGGCAAACACACACAACACGGTCGGCTCTGAGGACGTTGTGCCCTGCTCCTTTTCAACTGACTGCGGGGAATCTCACCCAGGGCCACGACGGTGTGCCTGCCCCAGCTCCCGAGGGACCTCGAGCAATGTCCGGGAACATTTCTTGGAGCCCACAGGTACGTGCCCACAGCGAGGAGCAGCCCTCGCCCAGGTGCCCACCATGAGGGGCTGTATGAACAGACTCTGCACCTCGGCTTCAGCTTATTTCTAGACTATTTCAGGATTTTTATTTAGGTCTTTCACAGTGGACAGATTTTTGAACCCCAGATGACAAAATGTGGCATGTTGTTGTTTTTTTACCCCCTCACCCCCGCCAGGCCTTTTATTCCATTAAATGCAACCCCCCAGTGTTCAAGCCTGCCACGAAACCATCGATTGTTGTTACAGCCTAAAATGCTCTAAACCGGGCCAGAGTTATGGGGTCAGGGGGAAGGAGCTGGCCATGGACGGGCTTGATCCCCGGCACCCCAGATGGTTCCCTGAGACCCACCAGGAGTGACCTGAGCACAGCAGAGCCAGGAGCCAGCCCTGAGCTCAGCTGGGTGTGGTCCAAGAAACAAACCCAGAACAAAACAAAAATGCTAATTCCCTTTCTTTCTTTCTTTATTTATTTATTTTGCTTTTTAGGTCACATCGGGCAATGCACAGGGGTTACTCCTGGCTCTGCATTCAGGAATTACTCCTGGCGGTGCTCGGGGGACCACATGGGACACTGGGAATCAAACCCAGGACCGCCATATGCAAGGCAAATGCCCAACCCGCTGTGCTATCTCTTCAGCCCACTAATTCTCTTTCTTAATGTAATGGTCAAATTGTATACACAGTAAGAACAAAATCCTGGGTCAGGGTGCTTCAAATGGCAGAGCACAAGCCAAGCACGTCCAAGGCCCTAGACGGTAGCCCTGGCACCACGACACCCACACCAGCACAGCCAGCCCCAAAATAAACAGGTAACTGAGGGACAGGGAGAAACATGGAGGAATGGGGCTGAGAAAGCCGGCAGGGTTTGTTCGAGGGTCTGAGGGGCTGGCCAAAGGTCTCAAGTGCATCTCAGGTCTACAGGGAGACTGGAGCCGGGAGCGCCAAGAGTCTGTGGAGCTTGGCCTCTGGGCCTTTCCCGACCAGCCTGCCTGCACCCACCTTCCCTGCAACCACCTAGAGGCCTTGGACAATATCCTACTTTATCCTTCATTCAAAGGACCAGACTCTCGGGGCTGGGCAATGGGGGACGCCTTCTCTGACCTATTTGCTCATTTTACACCAGAATCAGCACTGCTAGAATAGAAGCCTGGATTCCTAAGGATTGTCTAGGTTTAGTTGTCAAATCTGTCTTAAGACAGGTCAGTTGGCACGAATGAGTTGAGAACATTCTTTTCAATGTGGGAGGCCCAAGTTCAAGCCCTGGCACCGGACAGTTCCCTGAGCACTGCCAGGAGTGACCCCCGACCCCTGAGCACAGAGCTGCAGAGCTGGGAGTAACCCTTACATATACCAGGTGCGGCCCCCAAAACAAAAGTGTATGTGCATGAGCGTGCATGTGTGTGTGTGTGTGCGAGTGTACATGTGTATTTGTGCGCGTGTGTGTATGCGTGTGTGTGCGAGTACGCATGTGTTTTCTTAGGCCTGCCTGTCATTTTTTGCACCACTGATTCTGAAATTTAGGTTTAGGATACATTGTCAAAACAAACACTGTCCTCCTGTTGTTCATGGATTTGCTCCAGCGGGTCCAGTAACATCTCCATTGTGAGACTTTTTGTTACTGTGTTTAGTATATTGAGTACTCTCGGTGGCTTGCCAGGTTCTCCGAGAGGGGCAGAGGAATCGAACCTGGCTCGTTCAGGGTAGCTGCGCACAAGGCAAACACCCTACCGCTGTGCTATCACTCCAGCCCTTTTTTTTTTTTGCTTTTTGGGTCACACCCGGCGATGCTCAGAGGTTACTCCTGGCTCTGCACTTAGGAATCACTCCTGGCGGTGCTCAGGGGACCATATGGGATACTGGGAATCGAACCCGGGTTGGCTGTATGCAAGGCAAATGCCCTACCCACTATGCTATCGCTCCAGCCTGAGGATAAGTCCATTTTATTAGATTTTTCAAAAACATTTTTTACCTTGTCGTATTTCTTTCTAATGTACTCGCACTCTTGATCTACACAGCTAACCTCTCGCCTTCCTAATTAGAGCATGGAAAACGGTTTGATTTTTATCAAAGGTCCAGGACTTAGAATTGACATTTTGAACGTCTGGTTCATAACACTGAGGATTTTTAGTTCAAATGGTCCAGTGATTAATTTCAGTTTGGAACATGGGATTTGAGATCATGTACCATTTCATCAAAATTCTTTAAAGTAAGAAAGTTGATGTCATAGAAGACAGTCTGAACAGACAAAGAAAATAAAAGAAAAACATGAAAGAGGAACCCCGCCCTCTTTCTTTAGCCAACCTGTATGAACACTGCAAAATCGGTTGTATCACGTATTAAGAGACGATGACCGGAAGAGTGAGAAGGTCAAGCAAAGCTGTGAGGGTTAGGGAAAGGGACCCAGAGAGCTGGAGGAGCAAGTCTGCACACGGGGCCCAGCTAACTCCCTGACACCGCCAAGTGTGTGCCCTCACCCAACAAAACAAGGCAGAGCTGTGTAACCTGGCTGGGTATCCCCCCAACCCCCATCCCCGGGGGTCATTTTATGCATGGGCAGTTGAAAACGCCCCCATCACACCCAATTTTGCCCGGCATTTCCCAAATTTATGATGCGCCGCCAGACACGTTCCGGTGCAACCTCTGTCGAGCCACCCTTTTTCCACTTTCTTACCATTTTATCTGAATTCATTTTAGCAGCAGAGCCGAAATCCACCAGCTTGATGTGTCCTGTCCGGTCAATGAGGATGTTCTCGGGTTTGACGTCCCTGTAAGAAATCAGAGCCACCAATGAGGGTCTCTGTGCCAAGGAGCAGGCAGTTGCTGGCCGAAGCAGGCAGCGAGGCCAGGAGCACAGTGTCTGTGCTCAACACAGAGCTTCCCACGGATGGCAATAAAGAAACACCCAGCATATATTTTTAAAAATAAATTTACCTCTTAAAAAAAAAGACAAGGGAGTGAGAGAACGAAAGGAAACAAACACCTGCCATTAATCAGGTTATTTCTCAGGGCCCAAGCAATAGTCCAGTGGGTTGGGTGGTAGCCTCGCACCTAGCAGACCTGGGTTTGACTCCTGGCACCTGAGCATACAGTCCCCTGAGCACCACCAGGAGTGATCCCTGAGTGCAGAGGCAGGAGTGAGCCCTGAGCATCGACAGGTGTGACTGAAAAGCCAGAAGTAAATAAATAAATGATGAACAAACAGGCTATTTCTCCTAGAGACACATTTTGCATTGAGTAAACTTAAGGCCAAAATAAATTAAGGGATTGGCCAAAGTCAAGGAGCTTTTTTTGGAAAAGCAGAAGTTCAGATTTTAAGATTCCTCGCCAAAAAAATCATTACATTCTCACAACTGTCTTTTTTTTTTTGTCTGTTTGTTTGGGGGCCACACCCAGCAGTGCTCTGGGCTTACTCCCGGTGGGGCTTCTCTGGGGTGGTGGGGACCGGGCCCAGGGAAGTGCCCTATCTGCTGTCCCATCTCCTGGGCCCCACCACAACCCATATGGATGGGCAGAAAGACCCCCAAAGGGAGGCTGTAAAGAAAGGCTTTCTAGGGTTTTGTTTTGGGTTTTTTTTTTTTTTTTTGGCTTATTGGGTCACACCCGGCGATGCTCAGGGGTTCCTCCTGGCTCTGCACTCAGGAATTACTCCTGGCAGTGCTGGGGCACCAGATGGGATGCTGGGAGTGGAACCAGGGTCGGCCACGTGCAAGGCGAATGCCTACCCGCTGTGCTATCGCTCCAGTCCCCAACTTTCTAAGTCATTCTGAGAGACTCTTTGGAGCACCTTCCTGCACGATGGGCAGGAACAGTCAGGGAAAGACGACTTCGTGCTTGCTTGCGCCCATGTAGCTGCCCAGCTCTTCTGCAAATCATTTTTTCTGCCAGAGAACCCATGCAAGAGTTCACGGTCTGATTAGTTCCATTCACTGCCAGATCATACTGGCAAGCCCGAGATGGCCCGAGTCTCTATCTCCACCCCTGAGTGCGTGGGCTGAAAGGACTGTCATTTTGGAAAAACTCTTTGCAGTCAGCGCTCAAAGAAACGCTGAAGGGGCCGTTACTTCATACTGACGTCATTAACCCGTTCTCTCTACAGCAAGGACGCACGGGTAAGACAGGTCAAGCTCTTGCTTACCGATGAACATATCCCATCTGATGAACACTGTGAACAGCCAAAATCAGTTCAGCCAGGTAAAACTGAATCATACTTTCATCTAATTGCTCCTCGTATCTATTCAGCAGTGACAGCAAGTCCCCACCAGGCTGATATTCCATGACCTGCAGAGAAAGTCAAAGTTATTCATTCTTCACAGATACACACCCCAATGAGTGAAGGTCTCAATTAGATCTTCCAATGCTGTGTGACGTGTTATAATTACACCATCTCCACAACACAACTGAAGATGTGAGAGACAGACCGTAAATCACGTAGGATGAGTTCCCTGCCCTAAGGAAATTACAGCCGTTACTCCCGAGAACCAATATAATGAAAGACTAGCCCCAGCACCAGCACAATGTTTGCAAGGCAAGCTGGAAAAGTCGAATTAAGTCCACCCACCCGCCCACCCACCGAAGCCGACACCCTAGACGTTCTGAGATCAGCACACAGCAGAGACAGAAATTCCTGGAGGGCAACAAGCCCTCGGCATCCTTTTCTGCATTTTACTCCCGACCCAGCAGAGCACACGCAGGCGCTCAACGTGACACAGCCTTTTCCTGAACAGGCTGGCCGGCCTTCTGCCTCCATTAAGGATTCAAATCGGAACAGAGACTCTTGGACCTTGGCACTCTGCTTCTGACATTCATTTCACAGGAACTTGTAAACTTGTCTGTAGATAAAGAGCGTCACGTCTCACTGCTGTGGGAACCAACAGAAATCCCTCGAGGACCCAGCGGCGAGAGCCGGGCGAAAGCACAGGCCGCATCACAGGTGGGAGAGCTCCCGCCTTCTCGGTGAGCCCCCGAGGCCAAACCCTGGCACTGCCCCGCGCGCCCGGTGCCACTACAGTGGCAATGTCGTGTCACTGGTGTGACCCAGTCATGACACTAACAGGAGAGAGACGGTGGGGGCCATACTCAGAGGGTCCACCAGGGGCCACTCCCCAAGACACTCAACCTACCAGGCCAATAGTTCAGTGCTAGGGTCCGAGGGTGTGGTGCTGCTGCTACCGGGAGAGTCAGGCGGCGCCCGAGATCAAACCCAGGTCAGACCTATGAAGTCCTGTACCTGATTTCCTCTTGCTGGCCCAAGGAAATTCTATTTATTTACTTATTTATTTGCTTTTTGGGTCCTACCTGGCGATGCACAAGGGTTCCTCCTGGCTTATACACTCAGGAATTACCCCTGGCGGTGCTCAGGGGGCCCTACGGGATGCTGGGAATCGAACCCCGGTCGGCCACGTGCAAGGCAAACGCCCTACCTGCTGTACTCCTCCAGCCCCGGGAATTTTTTTTTTAAAGGGGTTGCCAAGGAGATAGCTCGAAGATCTTGTGCCCGTGTGCTCTGCCTGCAGGAGGCTCAGACCCAATCCCTGGCATTTCACAGTACCCCAGTACCACCAGGGATGAACCTGAAGCAACATACCAGGCATAGCCTCTGGGTAACCCAAGCATGGTCCAAAAACCGCTGTGCATTTTTCCTAAATACTGCTCCAGAGAGCTAGCAGGGCAGACAGGGTGCCTGGCTGGCATGTGGTGGATCCTGGTAGGTTTCCAGCCCCCGGCCCCACCGGGAGCAACACCTGAGCACAGAAGCAGGAGTCAGCCCTGAGCACCGCCGGGTATGACCCCCAAACTAGCTGAATAAAACTAGTAATAAGATAAGATACATGTGGCATGCCAATGTGATGGAATGAGACACAGATGCTCAGGCTCGGGGGTCAATTCCCCACTCCGCCTGGCCCGAGCACTGTCCAGGCCCTGCTGGCCACAGCACCAGAGGGCAGAGCAGCGCTGCCCTCGCTCTGAGCCATCCAGCCCCACGTGCCATAGATTCCCAGGTGGCGCCCAGGGGGGTCTGAGCATTGCAGGGGGCTCCCCCTCCCTATCCCGCTGAAAAAGACAGCGAGGGCAGATTCCATCTCTGTGCAGCCAGGGAAGGCCGCCTGTGAGCACAGCCAAGTGCTGTCCTACAGAAGATAACGAACGATTCCTTTTTTATGAGGAAAAAAAGTGAGCTATTACATTTGTTGATCCAGGCATAGGAAATAGAATCCTGGCAGAAGAGAAAGCACCGCCTCAGGTGAAATGTTTGATTAACAACAAAACATCCCAGGCTGAGAAATGGAAATCCTGCTGCTGCTGGTTGTGGGATTCCTGAGTCGACTCGCTCGGTGTCTCGGGCTTCTCCAAGAGGTTCGCCTGGGTGGCTTCCAGCTCGAGCCCCGTGATCTCGCTGGTTTCTGCTCCCCCCTCGGTTACCTGCGGGAAGGATGCACGACCAAGCCCCCGTGGGCCCCCAGGACCCCAGGCCGCGCCTTTCCTCCCCTCCCTTTCCTCCAGGGTCCTGCCACTTGGACCATCTCTGCATGGTCTCCCGCCCAGCACTGAGTTCCCATCAGCTGGACCACATGGCAGCGTTTCTGTGGCCGTCATTTTGGCTGGCAGGTGAGGGCACGTGGCACCATGACCCGAGCTCAGGGTCTCGCTCCGTGTGCTGCCACTGGAGCCAAGCGCTCCACTACAAATGTCCCGGAAGTCGTCTCGTTCTAGAAAGAGGCAGAATCTGAGCAAATACCTTTCCTATCAAAAAACAAGAAAACCTAGCACAGATGGAAATAGACAGAAGTGGGGCAGACCACCGCAGGGGCCACCCAGAGCGCTGGTGACGGGGCCATGGCTAACGTGCTCTGCGGGGGCTTTGGCGGAGCGACCTGAATGGAAGCGGGTCCTCAAGCACTGCCGTAGCCTTCGCCTGGAGTGGGGACTGCGTCATGCTCGCTGTCATGCTAAGGAATCGATGCTATTTGAGGGCCCAACACGCTCATTCCAGAAGCCAGGCCGGGCTGTGAATTCTCTCCATCCTCCTCCCAGCTCCTTGCTCTGCCTCTAGTCCAGATTTAGAAGACAGCGCTAGCCCAGTCAGACACAGCATGTCTGCGCCTCTCCCCCGGGGCCCCTGAATGGTGCAGCAAAGACTCTGCAGGGCCGAGTCAAGCCCACGGCAGAGGCAGCAGCCCCAACGCCCCTGGGAGCGCCGAGTTGCGGGCTGCCCGCCCCCACCCCATGGTCCCCGGCACACAACAGCGACATAGCCAGACGCTGGACACTGAAGCACAAGGCTCCATTTGCACTGCGGTTGCTGGGAGGAAAAAGGGTTGAGGAGCTCACAAGAAGGGCCTCACCCTGACGGGGTGGCAGCTAAAACGCAGACTTTGCGTCCCCCAGTTCACAGCAGACAGAAGGAACCCGTCCTCAGCCTCAAGGAGCCCACGGGAACCACCTGGCAACCCAGGTCCACCCACTCGTCCCAACCTGCTTCTCCCGGGGCCCTGGCGAGCGGGGGAGTGCCAATTTCCACATCTGCTTCAAATACATATAGCCATTTAAAAAGGTCTTATACACCCCAAAGAAATAATAATTAAAAAAAATCACAGATAATAACAGAAGTACTCATGTATTTAGAACTGAAATGTCTTAAAATAAGAACAATGCATATTTATGACGACATGTCGCAGCTATAAATTTTCTAATCTGGCTCTATTAAAAATGTGAAAAAAAAAGAGAACAGCTTGTAAGTCTCAGGATGCACAAGTCCAACCCGCGGTTGTTCTCTGGCACCTTTTAAAATTTCACAAACTGGAGGTCGGGGAGATGGTTACAGGGCTGAGAGACTTGGGTGCAACTCCAATACTGGGCAGTACCGCACAACCTGGAATAACCCAACCCCAAGCAAGGACCTGGGAGTAATCCCCCAGCACCGCTGGGGTGGAGCCCAAAAAACCAAAATGAAAAAAATCAAAACACAGAAAACTCACAAACTGACCATGAATGAGAACAGCAACTTGTGATGATCCCATTTGGAACAAGAGGCCAGTAGAATCGTTCAGAAAAGAGAAACCATCTTTTTAGAAAAGCAAAAAAAGAAGGATGGGGGGGGGGAAGACACATAATTCTTGGCATCATTCAGAAGATCCGGTTTCTGAGCTGAAAATTCCGGCTCAAGTTAAGTTTGTCTTTTCTGTGTGCTGAACCTTCCTTCCGTTTCTTCAGATCCAGGGTTGATTGGAAAGACAGGCGATAAAGATTACATGGCCGCGGAGTGACATGCTGCCGACACAAAGCCAAAACAGAAGTCAAGCGACACGCTTCCAAACAGACTGGATCCTTATCAAAGGAACTGATCGGCGCTGACCCACAGGCAGGATCCATGGGACAGACTGGACACTCCTGCTGTTCATTAGTGAGGACCTCCACTGGGAAAGTCCAGCCATCCCAAGACCGTAACCCTGCCCCCAAATCAGATCAGGGTATCGTGAGCCATTCCGGCAGCAATGGAGCCGCTGGGGACGACGGCTGGTGTGGAGCCAGCTCGAGCCTGATCAATCCTTCTGGCAGTTGAGATTAAAGATACAACTGAGACCCAGAAATTGGGTGCTTTCAGCACACACATCTGGACTTTTAGAAATGGTGCCGGAGCAGCCGAAGGGGAGCTCAAAGGGCCGGGGTGCACGCACACGAGAGTCCAGAGTGGGGTCCGGCATCTCACAGTCCCCGAAGCACAGCAGGCGTGATTCCCCCCACCACCAAAAAAATAATAATAACAAACATTTCCAGCAAGAAAGAATCTGTCTGCTTCCAACCAAATCATGCAGGGAGCAGGTTAAAAGCACTCACATTCTTTTTAGAAAGAGTTCAAAATCTGGGGCAGGAGAGTCCAGCAGGTAGGGTGTTTGCCTTGCTTGCGGTCAAGCAGGGTTGGTCCCCGGAATTCCATATGGTTCCCCGAGAACCGCCAGGACTAATTTCTGAGTGCAGAGCCAGGAGGAAGCCTTGAGCACAGGCGGGTGTGCTCCCTGCCTCCCCAAAACAGAGGTAAAACATGAACAACACTGAAAACACCTTAGGGCATTACTGGCACTCCTGGGGCCAGAAAGAGAGCCCAATGGGTGGAGCACACAGAAGGCCAAGGTTTGATTTCTGGCACCATGTGGTGTCCCCCAAGCACCAGCTGGGGCAAGACCCAGAGCACCTCTGGGTGTGGCCCCAAGACCAGTTTTTTGTTTTGTTTTTTTTTTTAAATAAAAAAGCAGACAGGGGCTGGAGCAGGTAGGGCGTTT